ATGTTACGTTCACCAAAAGACCACCTTCCTTTACAAACACCGGGTGTCTATAAAGTGAACTGCAGTTGTGGGAGCTCGTATATCGGTCAGACTAAACGAGCAATTGTCGATCGTATGAAGGAACACATCCGAGCAGTAAAAAACAATGATGCATAGAAGTCGGCTATAGCACAACATCTCACACAGACTGACACTAACCACTGGATCGAGTTGCATAGCCCCAAGGTACTCTCGATAGAACGTCACTACATACCACGGTTGGTACGAGAAGCCATCGAGATCACGAAGTACAAAACATTTAACCGTGATGATGGTTTTAAACTGTCCAGTGCATGGAATCCGGTCCTTAGTGCGTGTAGTAATAAAAACAAAAACACCTCGAGTTCAGTTTCGCGTGGATATAGTGAGTGTGGTTTGTGTGAAAAAAGTGAGTGACAATGGTAACGCCACAACAAATCGCGATGAAGGTAGTCGTCGACAGCGCAAGAGGGTAGACAGATATGTCTGCTCTTAAAGCTGTCATCTGCCGCCATCCAGTCAACCCGTGACCATGGAGCGTGCAACCGTTCCGAAATATCGGGAAAATAAAAAGAAGTCATACCGTGGTAAGAAACCTGATACTAGTGATAATCATTTATTGAACCAATGTATCATCGAACTCAAATGGAATGACCTACCTCCTCCCGTAAGAGAGGCGGTGTCTCTATCGTTACGGACATTCAACCGTTACATAGCTCACAATGGCTATTTGACAAGCAATCACGGGATGCAGGTTTCTTATAATTCGTGCCTTGTGTGTTGTTATACTGGTTTTTAATAATTTGGAATTATAATAGCATTTTGCATTTTCATTATTAGTGATCTTCAGCCTATGTATGTGATTAATTATAAATATTTATGTGTTTTCCTGACCATTAAGGGCTTTGGCCGAAAATCAGTGAGGACAAAGTTTTTTTCTTTTCTTTTTTTTAAATGCACTTCATTCTCCTCTGTAGCCGAGTCATTTGACGTGTGTTTTTGTTTATTATTATTATTATTCATTTGCATATTCTTTTGTTTATGTTGTTTTGCATGTCAAATAAACTATTTTATTTTATTTTTATTTTGTTTTATTTAAAAATTGCGTTGCATTATAATAAAATTTTAGTAATATGTTTATAAATTTCATTAGCACTTTCCTGAGCATACTTAACATTTTGGAGATGGTATCGCACCCTTGGTGTCTTGACAGGCAACAATGACACTTGTGTATGTCTGTTCAGGTACTGGCTATTCAAAGGTCGACTGCTGAATCTCCCGCCACACTTGCATAATGAACTTTATGGTCAATTTTGTAACGTACTAGATACGAGCCAAAATCTTCCGCGGAATTCTCGCGCATGCTCGAGAATGCTCACGCATTCGCCTAAGCCTACTTACGCCTAAGGCCATTTAACAACTTTTCAAGAGAGAGATGTTTCCTAGGTACGAAATTAGTGGATAACTCTTTTATGCTTAAATAAGAGTTACACAATTTCAGATATTATACATAATATACATAGTTTGATGTAAGTAGTTCGTATTATTTTTGAGTTAATTTTTTTTTATGATACATGAATTATTTTGTCATGTGTAGAATGTACGTAGAAAAATTAATAGGGATCATCCATTAAAATTTTTGCCGAAATCGTCCAGAAACGTGGAATGAGCTCTATCTCGTGCATTCTCCTAATAGTTCTGTTGACGGTTTTGTTGTATTTTATGTGAACGTATTTATTGATACGTTATGTGTAAACAATATCGTCGCCTTCATCACGAGTAGACTTACCATACGATATTGACGGGATAAATGAGGCAATCAGTGCAAAAGTGATGTAACAAGTTTAATTCTTTTTCTACAATATTACTTTAAATCATACTAAAGTAAATAATTATTTTATATTTGGATGCTATTTTCATGTGTAAATTTTTTTTTATACATGAAAATAGCATCCAAATATAAAATAATTATGTACTTTAGCATCATTTAAAGTAAGATCGTAGAAAAAAAACGTGTGTTACACCAGTTTTACGCTGATAGCCCTCAAATATAATATATTAAGACTCGTGGTTCACTAAATGAGTACCACTAATCACTAACAATACAGGTTTCTTACCACAGTATGAGTTTTTATTTTATTTTCCCAATATTTCTGAACGGTTACACGCTTTGTTGACAGGGGTTGACTGTCGGGAAAATAAAAAGAACTCATACCGTGGCATTCTTGCCACGTGCCATTTTTGTTCGTGGTTCAAGGTTTCTACCTGTGATTAGTGATAATCTGTCGACGGGACTAGGTTATTGAGATAGTTCGATTCTAAATTTCATGTTCTGTGATATGGTGTAAATAACTCGCCACGTCAAAATAGTAAGTTACAGATGGCGACACGCAGTTGAACAATGCGCAGAATTCGACTTTATGGTCTCAATTAGAGTGCGGTATGAGGTGCAACGAAAGGGGCGAGGCGTAACTAAAGCAACTTACCGACGCCTGCGCCCCAATTGGTCTGCAGCCCTCAATCGCTTCTCGTCTCAGCTGAAAACTGTACACCTGCGCAGACGGCCGCCAGTTTGTTCAACTTACTTGTCGCGATCTGTACGTCAAATAGTATTGTAATTATACAGCCCAAATTTAAACCTTCTATAAAAGAGTTAGTAGTCGGTAGCTCACTTGCAGTAGTAAGAATAGGGTGATGTACTGTACTTTTTACGGAGGCACATGTTTTCGTTAAGGAGAGGTTATCGCGTTTTGTCTATAAACTTCAGATGAAATTCAGAGATTTTGAAATAATATGACGTGAGTGGTGTGGCCTCTTGCGGCGACCGCGAGCAGGCAGACGCAATATAGGATGGCCTCCAGGATCGACGACCTGATAATTATGAAGGTGGTCAAGGAACGTATGCAGTGGCATTTTGTTGGGCCTATGTTCGGCAGTGGATATCTTTCGGCTGGTGATGAATGGAGGGGGGATGACGTCGGCGTAACTCGTGCGGAGCGCGAGTGGGGCGCTTCTCACCGCTCCTCAAGCATGACGGTCTCTTGGGGATACAGTTTCAGCGCACGCAATGTACTGCTTGGAGATTCTGTCGTCAACTGGAAGTGGTAAATAAAAATATTTTAGCAAAATGCGCCCTGACGTCTCGAGTTTGATTACCGGTAGGATCAAATTGGGAAATGAAATTTCTAAGTTCTGGTCTGGGTGTCCAGGAGTTAATTTCGTTCCTTTCGCATTAAGGCATGCATGTTACACTGCGCGCTGGTCAGGTTTTTTTGTTATTTGCCATTTTTCTCTTGAGTGATAAGGTTGTGTCAGAGCTATTGCAATAGCTCTTGATGACGAAGTATTGGAAACACAAATTGAAATTAGCAAAAGAAGGTGTGTACATCCTTGTAGCAGTAGAGCTCCTTGTAAAAGAGTTCGTCCAGGGTAGTACTGCCACCTTACCTATTTCTGCCGCCAAGCAATAACGTCAGCATTATTGTGTTCCGGTTTTGAAGGATAAGGGTGGTGGTAAAATTACAGGCACATGGGACATGTCAACTTATGTCTCCGGATGACGGGCGCAGTGGCAGTGCCCGTCAGATCTTTGGAATTTAAAGCTCTGAGTGGCACTGTAATTGTCACGGACAGGCGTGTAGCATACCATCAGGCGCAAGACTTGTTCGTCCCGTCACTTGATGCTATAAAAAAAATATCCCGCCTCGAGAAAACGAGAATCCGAACGAGAATTTGCCACGCTCTACAAAGATTCAATAGATGATTGGATGATGAGAGCATTTTGCGCTTTCGACTACCCTCCGGGTGCTCGGCGAATGCATTCATATTACGATGTGTCGCGATCGGGCCGGGTTGGAACCGGGAAAAAATACCCGACACCGCGCCCCGACTGTGTCTCGGCCGTGGCAGTCTCGGCCCGGTCTAGCATGAGTTCATGCAAAAGCATATCGAACCCCTCTGACGTAAAGTATCGTATGTCTAAATTGCTAAGCTTACAGGGGAGCGCTTTAAAGTTTTGAATTCACCTTTAAGCTCGTTACTCACACAGAGTATTATAAAATCCTAGATATCGGCTAGATGAACAACCAACCAATTTATTTTATCATTTTACAATTTATTTTAGCTTCATTAGCTCACTTATACAGATATATGACCGTGACACGGCCGGCACAAGACCGGAGCCCCGGTACGGTGTAACATGATTCAGCCTTTATGAGTACATGGAGTTAACTTGTAGAAAAAGATATCTCTTTCATTAATTTAAGAATAATATTTGGATAAAACGTTTTTATACTTACGTCTCTTCTAGGCCAGCTAGATATGACTTTGTAGTTGTCTTGGGGGAAACCTTCCGATGCGAGGTAGTCAAATAACGCCTGAAAATTAATTAAAATTATTTAATGTCCACCAAAATAGATGCGGTTGAAGGCGTTATGAAAGAAAAGAAAGTTTTTCTTAAACTTAACAACGTAAATGTTTACAACACCTATTTAGTAGCAGTAGTGCGAAAGAGTTCGTCCAGGGAAGTACTGCCAGCTTAGTTATTTCTGGTGCCAAGCAGTAATGTGAGCATTACTATGTTCCAGTTTTTAAGGGTAAGGGTGCTGGTGAAATTATAGCCACATGGGAATTGTCAATTTATGTTTCAGGGTGACGGCCGCAGTGGTAGTGCCCCTCAGATATTTGCGATTTAAAGCGTGGTACTGCAACTGTCATGGACAGGCGTGTCGCCTACCATCAGGCGCACGACTTGTTCGTGCTATCACTAGGTATCCTAAAAATAAATTTATATACTGAAAATTAACATCCAAATGATAATCTCGGGGACCCAACTGTTTGCACTGTGCACGCTGGTCGAGGAGGTCTCGGGTTCAATTCCCGGTAGAACCAATTTGGGGAATGAATTTTTCGAAATTGGTTCCGGTGTGGGTGTTTAGTGTGAGTTGTGCACAGGAGTGAATACCGTTGCTTTGTCACTCACAGTACAGAAAATTCCTTAATTTGAGACCAGGGGGTCTAAAAAGGCCGCATGGGCAGAATGATAATATGATTTAATTGACAATTCATATTATGAATTTTCAAACGAAATAAAGAACGCAATTCATCTATTTGACAGTGTTCTATAGAGACGTTAATTATTTTGTTGGATTTAATTGACAGTTCATATTATGAATTTTCAAACAAAACAAAAAACGCAATTAATCTATTTGACAGTGTTCTATAGACGTCGTCATAGTTTACGTAGACGTAGTTAGTCGTCGTTATAGTTTGTATAACTATGTCCAATTTTTGACAGTGATTCCGGAATACAGTACCTGTAGCGTGTCGGAGGCGCGGAAGCGGCGTTCGAGACAGGCGTGGTGGGGCGGCGGCAGGCGCACGCGGATGCGCGCCACCGCGTCGGCCGACGACGGCGGTTCCGCCGGCACCAGCGCCGCGGCCGCAGCTCGCGCCGCCTACAAACCATGTACTTTTACGATGTTGGCTTAGGTGGCGAAATATTAATTGCACCGATTCGTCTTATCTTTACAGTACAATAGGACAAAGGAGTGTACCGTCTCGTGCCATCTGTATAGTGCAAACAATTAGTTTAAATACTTTTATGCATTGGCACTTAATTCTAAACCTGAACATTTTTATGAAAAGAGTCGGCAGTTGGTATTTTACGAAATACCCACTGTTCGAAAAACACGACCTGTTGAGCAAAAGAAAAGAAAGCAAATAAATAATTGAAAACTAGAATTCAGAAAAAGCATACAGCGCACCCATGACTGGCACGATGGACCAAGACCGTTAAATCCGTGTACGCTTTAAGAAAAAAAAAGTTAATGTCCTTTCTATTACAATAGAAAGGATAAGCAGTTCCAAGAGATAACATTCAAATAAATAAAATAATAATGTGACAAAATAAAATAAAATAATAAAAATAAAATAATAATGTCACAACTTTGAATGTGGGCTTTTGAATATTAATAAATCGCAATACTGTCAAACTGCCATTCCTTTGACGATTTGTTGAAATGCAATAAATGTACTGTAAAGTAATTTTATTTTCGGCATACTTGCACGTAAATAGTATGATTGCATGGCATGGGTGTAATGAGAAGAAAAAATCGCGAAGGTTTTATTTGGGTCATTATAGTCAAGTTAGTCTGCATGGAATCATACTATTTACTTAATTAAAGTTATGTAAACATACAATAATTTCTCTGTTTGTGATAGTCTGGCGCGTATACGTAAATAAAAGGTTATTTAATAAAATTCATGTATTTACGTTAAATTTTTATACAGAATAAATTTTATCTACACACATATTATTATCATAAACACTCCATGATGTGTCCAAAAACCCCAAATTACGACCAGCATAAAGATAAACTGTTTTGTCAGAACAAATTTCTTATCTGTGAAAATGTTATTATTGCTTAGTATTAACATCGAATTACATTTTATTATGACATTCGACTACCGAACATCTCTGAAAAACGAAACAATTTCATTCGACCTCAATTCTAATATCAGTCAAGATTAAGTTTTATTTGAAATGAAATGTCAATAGCAAACAATTTTGACAAATTTCACACGTTACTTGATATCGAACAATATGATAGTTGGGTCCGACTCTAGTTTGTCTATGAATTAAATAATAACTACGATTGTGTGACATGCAAATGTTTTTATTTGCCGCCATTTCGCCAGTCGTAACATACGGTTCCTGAACACATCATAGAGAGTTCATAATATGTGTATAGATAAAGCAGTTTATGTAACGGTACATAATTAGGCATTAAAACACATAAATCCACACTCGTGTTTTAATGCCTTTCATTATGTAACAGTCACGTAAGCTACTATATCTTTATCTTTATTTACGTGCAAGTGTGATGAAAAACATTGTATGTTTCACGGGCGATACGGGAATTACGAACCTGGACCTCGAAAGCCCTGTCTTTGACTTCAGGCCTCTAATCGTCTCGTTCGTAATTCCTTACTTACCGCTCTTAATTGTAGGTGCTAAAACTCGTAATACGACTTACAGCTTTTCTCGCCTCCTCCATTTGTCTTTCTGATTCTACTCGCTCAATTTCCTGATTTCTTTCTAACTCTTGTTGTTTCTTTATTTCTTCTTTGGCTCTGTAAAAATAGCAAATAGCATCATTTGTTCGACAAACACCTGGAGAACCTGGCGCGATGGCATATGGTCTAAAATCTTTCCTTAGTAATGATCTGTGCTCTGCAGCAGAACGTATATGGGTTGACGATTGTGATTTGCCGTAAGTATTGGTCTCACTTCGATATAGTACAAATTGTTATTACAACTATTACACCATTAGTAAAGAAATAAATGACTTTACAGTAATACAAAAAAATGAGGTTCGTTTTTCTATTCATGGATGCTGTACTGCCGAGAACGCTTTCCAGCATTGTCGTGACTACATGTAATTCACTTATTTATATTGTAAATCATCCACCGCGCCTTTCTCAAGGTGTTAAGGTAATCGCACACTAGTTAGCAACGCACTGCTGCTGTCTTATACAGACTTTTAACTGTAAATTACTATAACACCGAAAACCTGTTAATATGAAGAAATCCATATCATCTACATACGCTCACACACAAACACACTTATTTACAAGGAAATTAAAATTTATGCACAGTACAATAATTGATACCTAATGTTGGGGGAATCACTAACTCCTAAGATATAGGATATCCTAGTTTAGGAGTTAGGGGATCACTTTTAAATGGCTTTAAATCTTCTTCTTGTACAACTAATGCTTTTTTGTTCTCATGCACCTTGTAATGTCATTGTTATTCTTTATTAAATAAATTATTATTATACCTGTCGGCCTCGAGACTTCGTTGGTAGGCCTCGTCCTGTTCCAGTTTAACTTTCTGCCTGGCGTCCCGTTCGCGTTCGAGCCGCGCGTCCTCGCCGCGCTGCGCCGCGAATCGTTCAAGAGCCTCCACCAGTCCGCCCACTAACTCCGACACGCCTACGTTGCCTACACAAAAATACAAAATACTTGAAGCAATTTTAATGGATGAATAATATTGCAATTTGTAAGTTTTATTGAATGTCGCGATGTTTCAACTTGATATTCAATAATTTTTGTGAAATTACTCCACTAGTTTTTTTTTATAATAATAACGCACACGCTCAACATAGCCCCGCACTAGTGAAACCCTGTGTCGCGGGTGCCATGGACACACATATAGACAACCACAAATTATACCCAAACTCACGAGAGAAATAAATGTAGACCATACAAATATTTCTCCCGGCCCGGGAATCGAACCTGGGACCTCTGCGTGGCAGTCCGGCATGGTACCCTTTCGGCCGTGGAGGCAGTTAGTTAAAACTAAATAAGAAAAACATTCCTTCGATCCGGATGTATACGAGTCAGCGTCTTCTAGCAAACCGTGGCAGACGCTATGCCAACTAAGTCACGGAACGAATCAACGGACCTTACGAATTTTTCTATATGCTTTTTGCAGATCTTTTGTTTTTGCTTATTAACGACTTTTTTTACCGTAGCGTAACACTAAGAAACAAATTCCTTTTTGTTCGACCTCTGTATTAATAATTATAATGAATAATAATTGTTTACCTAGAATATGGTTTATAAAAGAAGTTATGAGTCAAGAGCGCATCAAGCTTGAAACTATGGATCGTTCTTATCACGAGAGGCACAAGTGTCGAGTTTAAATTATAAGTTTGACACTTGACGTGCTCTGGACCCTGTATATATACTTACCTCTCACACTCCGAGAATTGTATTTACAAAAATATATTTGAGAAACTATATTACGTAATTCCATACTATTATTAAATTATAGCCGTGGTAGCCTAATGGTTTGACCTACCGTCTCTCAAGCAGTGGGTTGTGGGTTCGAATCCGGGCTTGCACCTTTTCGTAATTTATATGCGAAATTCTATTTGAAATTTTCCATGGGACTATATAGACTAACGATGATATAAAACACCACCCTGGATAATATTACAGGTGCGACTTTCATTTTTGCGTTCCAAAGTAGCTAATAAGGCTTTTTTCAACGACTATCGAGGCTTTGCGCGAGGTGATTGACACTAAACGAAACTGGACGAACTCTTTCAAAAGGAGTGGTTTTAGTTTAATAATTTGTATGTGTATAGTGAATTTAGTTTTACACGAGTTGGAATATTAATAAACGTGTTATACGACCGCTAGTCAAGAAATTGGCTAAGATATGACGTCGTTTTCCATAAACTATTTTTTTATAGCCATCATCATCATTCTATTTAAGAGACAGACTCTTGTTGGTGTAGCTTCTTCCACTCCTCACGGTTCATAGCCAGTTCCTTGACCTCTTTATAGCTGTTCACTTTGATTATACGATTCTTATTCGATGAAACTTTTTTTATGATCGATAACGATGACGTGCTAAACGAAAATGGCGGACTGAGCTCAAGCATGTGGTACTCCGCGTACTGTTGGTACACGTACACGCCCACAAAGCAATTCTATTATTGTTCCGTGCAGATCATCGTTAAGACTATTTTATCAACTGCCTCCGTGGCCGAACGGTTACCATGCCGGACTGCCACGCAGAGGTCCCAGGTTCGATTCCCGGGCCGGGCGAAATATTTGTATGACCTACATTTATTTCTCTCGTGAGTTTGGGTGTAATTTGTGGTTGTCTATGTGTGTGTCCATGGCACCCGCGACACAGGGTTTCCCTAGTGCGGGGCTATGTTGAGTGTGTGCGTTATTATATTATTATATTATATATTTAATTTTAATAAAGTTTCCATTTTCTGTGTATGGTAAAAGATTTTGTGTTATATGAAACGAAAGTAAACCAAGTATCGCTGCAATATGGTCCACTTTTTTGAGAACGTTAATAGGCGTTAAGCGTTCTTTGACTTTCAGCTACTCTCGCAATCTTTAGTCGCGGACTCGCACATTATTTATAGCGACCGGTTAAAAATTTATATCCATCTAAATATGTTATAAAATAAGATAATTGAAGGGGAGTTACAGTAATTGTGTACGGTTTACAATCGCACAATTTAGTTTTGTTTATTTTATTCCCTAGTTTCCGCGGCCGTTTGTTTACCTGTGCACATAAGCAATAATCTTACATATACGTAAGTCTTCTTTACCTTGAACTTCGCTGTCAACTTCAAAGTAATCAGAAAATTCAACAAGAAATTGTCTCAACGTTGGAGAAATCATGTCAAGTGTAAACGAGACTTCTAATTAAATGTCATAATGTAAATTGTGCTACGTTTAGAAATAAATGCTAAGAATTTTTAATATATTTAAAAAATCGTATCTTTTTGCTCCATTTTTATCTCATTCGTTTGTCGTAGTCATTCTATACTTATCACAGAATAACATTTAACTCTGTTTACAAAGTAACATATTAATGTTAAATTATTTTAAAATATTAACATAACCTCAAAAAGAAAATGTTGCCTATTCTGTAGTTAAAAAATATAAATTCAGTATATTTAGAAATTATATGAAAATACAAATAAAACCCTGTATCTGTGAATGATGATCGTCAACGTTCTTTTAGCTGGTACAGGACTATGGAATTTGGGCATTGTTCTTTCAATATAAAATAAAAACGTAACTTGCAATAATAATAGGTAATGAACTTTCAACGATGTGCCAACTGAGTAAAGTTTAAATTATATTAACAGCCCAGAATTTGTTACAACTTTTTAAATTAGACACCACAACCAATCATTATCAAGATTTCATAGTGATTAACATTATGATAGTGTGAGTTTCGGCGACAGCGGTTCCGTTACAGCAGCACAATTTTAGAACAATCGTTTTATTATTATATAATTAAAGCTCATATTGTATAATTTGAACGTGTCATATATTGATACTGACCGTTGATGACGGAGTAAATTTCGGTGTTGGAGCGCACGCGCATGATGATGACAAGCGCTGGTAGTCGGTCCACGGGGATGCTGCGGATCGTCATGCTTGCCACCGGGCCCAGCGCGTTGCCCACAGAGTTCAATAACCTGCACAAACAACCATTTCGTACGTTTGTTAAAAAAAAAAAAGGTAGGACCATTGTTGACCAATATGGAGAAGAGAGGTGTTTTAAACCACCACTATTATTCAACTTCGTTATTTGGACTAGTCTCAGCTTAGTAAAAATAACTTCTGTTCCGAACCGGCTACTGGACGGGGCAGATATAAATACTTTTTATATTTTTAATTGCTTATTGACAATGTATCTTAACCGACTTCAAAAAAGGAGGAAGTTCTCAATTAGTCTGTATTTTTTTGTATATATGTTACGCGATTACGATTTGTTAAAGAGGGTACTCACATGTTGTTGTTATGTGGATGCGTCAAGTCCCATCCGTAGACGATGAAGTTCTCGTTTAACGTTTGTAGTACAGTCTCGCAGCCTAGCAGCTGTGCGCAAAACACGTTCGACAGTACCGATTGTTCGTGGTGTAGGTATACGCCTAGTAATTTTCGCTGAAAATATGTAAAGTGTTCAAGGGTTACAGTACCTAAGCAACAAGCGCGTTGTCCTGTGAAAAGCACAGTACCGTGTCTTCTTTTGTAATGCAATATAATTATAGTTGAACAGCTTATGGGACTCACCACATTTATTCACATGGACTCGTCTTAAGCCGGTCAGAAACACCTTTATGTTCATACAGTAGCAGTGAAAAAGACGTTTTGCGTTTCGCTTGAGCTCGAATTGCCGACGCGAACTGCACAACGTCGTTTTCGCTCTTATTACTTGGGTGTAAAGATTTTTCTAACCGCCTTAATTTTATCAACACATGTGTAGCTAACGTCATCTTGAATGAATGTTTCCTATTTATAAGTTTCTCATTGTTTTCTCTACGTACATAATCTACGTTATATGTTGTACTATTTGTTATATTATAAATAAAAGTATGAATATATAGGTACCTAAATTAATAACTAAGTATGTTATAATTATTAATACAAAGATCGAACACTCAGAAAAAATTCCTTCGATCCGGCCGGATTCCAACCGACGTCTTCTAGCATACCGTGCCAGACGCTATACCAACTAAGCCACGGTACACACCAGCGGACCTCACGAATTTTTCTGTGCTTGCGTTTTGTATTTTGGTTATTCAACGACCTTTTAGCCGTAGCGCCATCTATGAGAAATCTGTGATATTTCGTCACCCAGTTAGCTACCTTTACAGCTACCAGGCCCGGCTAGAGATGTCGCTATTCATTGTATTTAAATTTTATTGAATATATAATATATATTATTTTTATGCGAAATTACTTCACTAACCGTTAACTCAAGTTTATTCGCCTATAATATTTCTACCTACTATGTGCTATTTTTAACCGATTTCAAAAAAGGAGGAAGTGCTCAATTCGTGTGTTTTTTGTGTCTGTATGTTACGCGATTACTCCGATATTTGTGAATCGATTCTGATGTTTCTTATTTGTTGGAAAGGGGGTACCTCAATAGAGGTCCCATTCATATTTGAAATAAAATATTCGTCCTCTAAGGTTTAAATCAGGGAATAAATCCTGTTTATTGGATTTCACCCACTTTCCGTTAACCGATTTTAATAAAACTTGTGAAATAGATGTAATTCCTTAAACTTAAGTTATAACTTTATTACATTGACAATTAATGAAATGTTAAGAATACTGAATATCGTCAGAAAAATCTTGTTGAAATTATCCCGTGTGCAGTGTGACATAACTGTTCCATAAACGGTCACTGCTCCCGCACGGCGCAACTATATCGGAACCGATTTAGTTAAGCGGTAGACCTGTAGACGCTTGTAGAAGCCTTGCAATGGCGCGATTGCGGTGCGGCAGTCGCGCGTCTGTAGCGCTTCAATTTTTAGTTCGCTATAGCCTTTTTTGAAGACGAGTAAAATGACATTTGTTGGGTTGCCAGTTTTCATAAAATTTTAAATAGTTATGTATTTGATGTCGATAGTTTTATCGATGGATTGTGAAAGAAGATACAATTTTGCCAAAAATGACTGAATTGTGAACGTTACTGCATATGATTACTAATTGCGTTATTGCGTTCTTTATTCTTATTTTGGACAGTTGGCCTATCGTATCGAGATCGATTTTAATTCAATTACATTTTAACAAGAATAGCTGGATTTGTTAATTATTAATTGAAATGAAATGAAAATTTATTTGTTTAAAATATGGTGAACAAAAGATGGAACACAGTAGAGAAATAGAGCTCATATTTTACCACAATTGGCATGCAAAATTATACTTATAGTGATTAAATTAATTAAAATGAAAAACTTTACAATATGTCTCCTTTTTGTATTTTTCATAAACACAGTTCAAAATACAGTATGAATAAAAATTGACAATTCAAATGAACTTGTGCTCTGTAATTGTATCAATAATGGGTCGAGGATGATTCAAATGAAACAAGTTCGGCTATTTATCGACTGCAATCACTAGCTGCTCGCAACCGGGCAACGCTTTACGCAATGAACTGACATTTTACTCCGTCTTAAAAAAAGACAGACTACAATTGTGACTGCAAAAATATTGTATGAAAATTAGTAATAGCGCGGCTGCAACGCCATAGCGAAGCCACTACAGCACTTCTACAAGCGTCTAATTTAACTTAACGTGTTTCGTTGAACTTGCTTTAGAAAGTTACCGAATTAACATTTTGTTACTATATCTATAGCGATTTTCATATCGCAAATGTGAACGCTATATAAATGAAGTAAGGTACAAAATTTTTCTAAGAATCTTTAGATATTATTTTTAGGCGTGTCCCATCATACCTCATTGGCGGGTTTGAGACAGGCTTCCTTGATGGCGTCCTGTAGGGTGCCTTCGAAGAAATTGGGCGTGTTGGGCCCGTAGCGTGAGCGGAACCGCTGTGAGAACTCGATGCAGCCCAGCGCCTCATCTTCCACATTTTCTGACACTATAGTAAATACACATTTCTCAAAACATGCTCGGAAATACTTGCATTATTTTCATATAAAAAACACCCAAAGCTTGTAATTTATGGACCATGTGACTCTTTACCGATCTAGGCCAGGAAAGTGAGCATGAACATTCACTTCTGCCTGCTGCTCTAAATATAAATAAATAAATCGATACCACCCACGTAAGTTGTTGTAAGCCAAGATACCATTTTTTGCTTTTTATATATATCGTTTTTTTTATGTATTCAGGTTCCATATTGGAAAGTAAACATAGCAACTAAGTAATTTCGTTACTTTTAAATAAGGAACCTATAATAATAATAACGCACACACTCAACATAGCCCCGCACTAGGGAAACCCTGTGTCGCGGGTGCCATGGACACACATAAACAATTACAAATTACACCCAAGCTCACGAGAGAAATAAACGTAGGCCATACAAATATGTCGCCCGGCCCGAGAATCGAACCTGGGACCTCTGCGTGGCAGTCCGGCATGGTAACCGTTAGGCTACTGAGGTAGTTAAACATAAGACATAAGTTGACAAGTCCCATGTGCCTGTAATTTCACCAGCACCCTTACCCTTCAAAACCGGAACACAGTAACGCTGACATTACTGCTTGGTAGCAGAAATAGGCGAGGTGGCAGTACTACTCCTGGACGAACTCTTTCACAAGGACCTCTACTGCTACTAAACTATATTACCATGATGTTCATATTTTTGCGAAAATACTAATAATTACTTTTGGCACCTTCCAAAGTTCGTAAAATACTGTATACTCACTAAGCGGTTGCAATCGCTCCGACTGAACAAGGTCGACGAACATATTGTCGTCCTCTGCCGTGAAGCCGTCTGTCGGGTCTTCAACTTCCTCCACTGAACTATTGTCGCTGTCCGAACTTTCTACTATTATCTGTTAACATAAAGCAGTGCGCAGTGGCAGTGATAACGCACCTACTACTTATTGTTTTTTTTTAAAGCGGTAAAATAAACTAAAAAACTTTGGTATCATTTTTCTCTTTTTTTGGGCATTTTTCTATGTTCATCGCGATAACTTCTAGTGAGAAAAGTGATAACGAAAATACAGTATAGATATACATTAAACTGCGTCGTCAGAAGTTCAGCAGACTACTATTAAATGTGCCTGGAAAAACTATGTCAAATTTAATATTACTTTTAATTAACATTTTTTCAATTTTGTCCATTATACATTTTCTTCTCTTTAGTCTTCTATTATTTCCTCGCATCATTTGAGAAAACCACTATATAAGCCTCGGCGGGACCGGGGATTGCTTGACTCGTATTAATTAAAGGTCTCGATGGCGCTCGGCTTTGTAACTCATACTCGTCCGGCAATCCCTTACTTCTGCCCGGCAATAATGTACTATTCTAGCTTAAACTTAGTAAAATTCGTTTTATAAGACTCAGCCTTAGTTCGGTAATGAAGCCCTACCTAAATTCCTACCAATTATATAAAATGTGAAAAACAAAGGAACTCGTTTTTTCGAAGTCTTTAAAAAAAAGTATTTAGTATTACCCTCTTGCACTCCTTCTGTTTGTTGTTGGTGGCGCGCTTGACGGTGAGATCGTGCTGCGGTAAGTCTAACCCCACCATCGCTAGCACTGTGTCGTCCAGTCCTGACACCTCGGGCCAGCCTGTCCACGACTGTACAATAAAGGGTTTTATTTAGGGTTGCATGTGCAATAGGCTACTCGACAGAAGGAAAAATTATCTCCGAACGGCAGTAATTTACAAATATAAGATTGAAAAATAATTGTGAGGACTAGAGCATATTGCTTTATCCCTCGCCCACGACTTCCCTCTCTCACCTCCTTTGCCCTTGCACGATCTGTAAGTACGTGTGTTAAAATAAACACAAATTATTTGATTATTGAGGTTTTATTCATGTATATAACATTTTTGAATTCTTATACTGAAAAAAATAAAATTTTTCGGTACCTAATCTCTTGGTTCACTACGGTATGAGATTGTCTAAAGCCTGTATGACGTCACGAATTCGCAAAAAACAAGGGTGCGCGTGCTTTCGGTTCACCATAATAATATAACGAATAAATGGTCTCATATAAACACTACTCGGCTTGGAGTTTAAAATTTCTATTTTGCCTTTACGGCTTTAAATTCAAAAATATATAAATGTACTTCAATAAATTTCAAAAGTAAAGGATTATCATTAGCTTACGCTAATGAAAAAAATGTAAATTCTGCCTAATCACATTTTTTTTTCTCGAAACGGCGATACACCGCACTGCGCTTGACATGTGGCTTCTTATGTGTCAAACCTAAACTGAAAACTGTGTGCAGCCGCTAGGTGGCGTTAGTAAGACACGCCAATACAAGACAGTATTACGTGGAATGACTTTTCGCTGGCTTTCTAGAACAGTAGTCTATCGCAAAAACATCTAATTCATCATAAAGAATGTCTAAAAAAATCAGAGTCGTAGACATCTGGCGCAAAAAACCGACGAATAGTATATCGGCCCCATATTGTGACCTAATTATTTCTAATAGTAGAAAGCTCTGTGTTTTATTATACACAATAAAATTTAGCATGTTCTGAATACAGTTGTGTAATAAGTTAATAAGTAAAAAATTAATTATTTTGGTTAGAGCCACTGTTCTCGAAAAGCAGGGATTTGTATCTTTCAGGAGCTCGCTACGAAAATGAATTGTATTGCATTGTGTCGCAATACTGACATATTTAAAAATGTAAAGCTTATGCCTACAACCAACCTGATATCTGAAAGGTATGTCTGTGAGGGAATAAATATCGTTCTTGACCTCTCGCACCGTTTTGGTACCAGGGAATTTTAGCGTGTATTCTTTATCGTCGTGTTTCACACGAAGCACGTATGTCGCCGTCAATCTCTCCGCAACCCTGCACACAATACAAAATAAATGAAAGCATTGACACGAAAATTAATTTGTAACATTGAATACCATCATACAATTTTTATATACAAAATTATACTATAGATGAGTATGTTTTCTGATTTCTTATAATTATTATAATAGATCGAAACAATAAGAAAAGTTAATGCGATCCGGCTGGATTCGAACGAGCAATCCCAGGCAATCCGTGCCAGATGCTCTGCCAATTAAGCCACGTAACGAACCAGAAACCCTTACGAATTTTTCTATGTGTTTGTTGCAGGTCTTTGTTTTTGGTTTTTAACGACGTTTTTCTACAGCCATCAGTGTTTTGATCTTTGTTGTAATAATTATAACAAACTAGTGGAGTAATTTCACAAAAAATAACTGAATATCACGGTAGTAAAACTTTTTGACATTCAATAAATAAAAAAAAAATGTTTTGTAATATTCCGAAGAGCCTTTTATTATAGGTATAAGGCACTTTATTGTATGAAGAACGACGCACAAAGTTGCTAACGTCTTTCCTTCAAATGAAACATTATTTTCATTTTATAGGTTCACAAATTAATTACAATTCGAGTCATCCAATTGATGAAACACCAAACTATTTATTTACTCGTAAAGCAGATTCCCCTGAGAAGAATGAGTAAACTCTAGGGGTTGTTTTTTACAGAATATATTTTTAACTACAGTCGGAAATATCGAAAAGCTAAACGGATCATTCTTATTTGTCATCCAAGAACTTTTACCTTTTGTGTAATGTTGTTTTTAGTCAATCAGTAATGTATATAATGCCCCTTAAATGAATTTGTGACTATGTGAAGACGAATGCTGAGAACAGCCAGTTTAGCTACGTACATCTTTAAAATAATAGCTTTTTATTTGTGTTTTTTTTTAAACAGACTATTCTGTTTTGTCGCTGATGTTACATAATTGGGCTTCATGAGTATAACTTACAAATGATTGGTTGTCTACATAAAAAGTATGAATGAAATGTAATCAGTGCACCACAAAGAAATAAATTAATTCGAATTGTATTTATTCACGTCTGTAGTAGCTGTAAAATTAAGAACAAGTTTCGGTAATACTCACTCATCGTCGGCCATAACTTCGTCGGCGGGTTTCAACCGTAGTACGGAATTGCGCGGTAAGCCCAGTGAGCCAAGAGTGGCCGAGGAGGTCGCCCGCGAGCCCCCCAACCCTGATATCTGTTGTCGACATACCGGTATGCCGCACACTGCTTCTAACCGCTTCTTTAAATCACCTACAAAATAAATTATGCAAGCTTTACTACTCATTACATTTTTGTGCTATGTTGTAAGGAGATAATTAATGGGAGCAAAATTGTCAACGGTTACTCTTTGATATTTCAAATTTAAACCCTTTGCTAATGGTGAAGGTACAATGTTCAACATATAATGAGTATTTTATCAGTATTTTTAAATTCCATTAATCGAAGAAAGACAGAGTCAAGAAACTCTGGGTTCGCGGAGTAGCAAATTAATTTACTTCCATTTTTATTAACATGGTCCTCCGCAAAGTAACGCCTGAATCTAATAATTACTCAAGAAACTCTGACATTGTCTTTCTTCGATTAATGGTCACACCTGATTAGTAATTTATTTTTACAATCACTTTTTCTTTAGAATATGTGCGTATTTGACCTCTATCTCTCCTCATGGTAAGTGACGATGAGGTCGATGATGGAGCATGTACATTTAAATAATGCATGTTCACTCTTGCCTTGCCTTTGCTCATCATTTGTATATGTCGCAGAAAAATGATCAAATCGGGGACCAGATTAGGGATTTGACTAAATCACTAGGTTTGTTCAGTAAAACGATAAAATATGGAACTTGTCAATTACTCTCCATGGTCACGGGTTGAATAGACAGATAAAATAGCCAGGTCGCTAAGGAAGTTTTCCATAAAAACTGTTTTCACCCCCTTAAC